GAGCAGCGGGCGGCAGGAGAGGTCTGCGTGCCATGTGGGACCCTCCTCTGGTGGCCGGGGAGCAGCCGGGGATCGAACCAGCGCTGCAGAGGCTGCGGGCAGCTTCGCAACCCAGCGCTCAATCGCTGCACCACCGGGGAGGCCCCACACCCTTTAATTTCTGTATCCAGAGGCAATTCAAGTTGTTCTGCCCCCAAGTCTGAGAGACACATTTGACTTTTTTTGTACTTTGCACATTTAAAGCTCAATGTAAGGTGACAAGAACATTAGGTTGCCCAGCAAGTAAAATGTGAAACTAATCACAATCTGTTCTTAGCCGTAGGTACAATAATTGGCAAATTAAAGTGCCTGAGAATAGCTGGGCCACCCGCATCAAAAGGCATCACCTTGGAATAGCTAATGAAGACAAATGGACACAGCTAGCTTTACTGACAACTCTGTCAAACACCCGCGGACCGAAAAGGCAACATTACAGTACCTATTTAATTTTTGTAAAGTACATACTGTGGAGAAATATTATTTAAAGGATTCAAATCCAACCACCCTCAGTATTTTGTAGATATATGTAGTTTGAATTAAGACTATTACTTACTCCTGAAAACCAAATGCTTTTCCTCCTAAGTTGGAAAAATGGAATCCACTTGCTTATTAAAATGTTCAATTTGTAACTTTATAACAACTAGATTCAAATAAATATAAATGCCACAAAAAAAAAAGGAAATAACTTGCAACTCTTCATTCATCCATCCCTCCCATTTATTCAACGTTTACTGAACAGCTACCATGTGTTAAGCACTATGCTTAATTCTAAGCATGGAGAGATGAATGACTTCTCTTTAAGGAGCTTGTTCACTACTGGTAGAAAGATGCATAAATACAGATGATTAGGAGGGACTAGTTGTAGAAATATTTTCAGAGTACTCCTCTCCCTCTTAGAAACTTCAGAGAGGAGATGGCTCGAGTTGAACTCCAGGATAATATAAAGAGGATATAAAATGAAGAGTTTTTGAGGCTGAACAAGCTTGAGAGAAGTTTTCTGAGCTGAAAGAACAGCTTGTGCAAAATCAACAACAAGGTCATGGTCTGCCAGAAGAAAAGAAATTGCTTTTAGAATAAATGAAGGAAATAAATACAGGGGCCAAGAGGTCAACAGACGATGAAGATAAAAGAAAGGCAACTGTAAGAATATGAAGGGTTCTAGAAGACATGTCAAGGAGTCTGGATTTAACTCTATAAGGCAGTAGTTTGCAAGATACACGCCATATAACCCTGAGTCCAGAAACTGAGGGAGGAAAGGAATGAGGAAGAGACCAGATGATCAGGACGCCCTGCAACCTGACTTCACCCAAACAGTGTGGCAAACGTCTGTTTTATAATAATTCTTTTTAATATTCTTAATATTTAAATAACTTTTTACTTTGAAATTATGTTAGATATATGGAAAAGTTGTAAAAATAATGCAGAGCTCGCACAAAGCCTCCTCCTAGTTTCTCCTAATGCTAAGATCAAATATTGCCATTTGTCACAGCCTAGAAACCAACACTGATACATCCCTATTAAAGTCCAGACTTCCTACATATTTCATCAGTTTTTCCACTAATGTGCTTTCTCTGTTCCAGAAACTAATCCAAGACACCACATTCCACTTAATCATCAAGTCTCTGTGGTCTATTTTGATGTGTGACAGTTTCCCAGTTTTTCCTTATTACTCATGACCTTGACAGTCTTGAGGAATGTTAGCCAGGTATTTATACAATGTCCCTCATTTTGGGATTGTCTGATGTTTTCTTCACAACTAGACTGGGGTCATGAGTTTGAGGCAGATTACCACAGAAGTGAGGTAGACTTTTCATCATCTTATATCAGGAGCATGTTATATATCAGTAAGTCTTACTATTTTTGTGATACCCAAATTGACTACTTGGCTAAGGTGGCATTTGCCAGGTTTCCCTTACTGTAGTTCCCATCTTTCCTCCTTATGTATTCTCTTATGGAGAAGTTAGTCACTGAATCCAGGTCACATTTAAGGGTAAGGGTAAGCCTCCCTTCTAGGAGGGGACTGTATCTACTTGTATCATTTGAAATTCTTCTGCAAGGGCAATTCTATTCCATTTATTTATATATTTATTTTACACTTTGGGTTATAATCCTAAACCACATTATATATTTTGCTGCTCAAATAATTCCAGCTTTGGTCAATGGGAGCTTTTCTCAGGTTGGCTTTTATATTCCTTTGAAAAGTTCCCATCTTTTCTCTCTTTTTTACTTTTTTTTTAAAGCATTTTACTACTTTAAGTCATAGCAGATGTTCCAGGCTTATATTGCATTTTTCTGCCCCATCTTTACATCCAGTCATTTCTGAAGATTCCTAGTTCCTTTTATTGGAAGAGGCCATTTAGAAACCAACGTCTGAGCACTGGTGTGTTAGCTGCTACTGAGCTGTGACTGTCTCAGCAGAAAGAGCTACAAATTCTACACATATATTCAAGCCCAGACATGTACACACCGCGACAAATGTTCATGTACCTGTTCATCTATGTAAAAGTTAAGCTAACCATGAGTTGGTAATGACAAGTCCAACACTATGCAACACTGAAGAGTTCCTTTAAGCTTTCTTCCTCTCTTATCTGCAAAGGCACTGAGGGAGAAACCTGATTCTCAACATTCATTTACATATTTGCTCAATTCCAGCACTAGAGCTTTCTTTTTTGAAAGCAGACTTCTATTATTTTATAATAATTGAAAAAGGCTGTAAAATACACATAGCAAGGGAAGGTCATTAAATTACTTACTATAGAAAAGCAGTATGATTATGTTTTTAGAAAAAATTGGATTGAAGGGGGCTAAGAAAAAGATAATGGAGAGAGGCGATGCTGTGATCTGCACAGAGGGCACTGAGGACCAGGAAATGAAATAAACAGCAGTTGTGGAAATAGAGAAAGAGCCAATTTGATCAACATCAAGTTGATATTTTAGAAGATTAATACAGAACTTAAGTGATTAATGTGGAAAGTGGCAGAGAGAAGTTGGAGATGAATGTGGATGAATAAGGGTGACGTGTGTTTATTTGAGTATTAGAAAATATATTGGGAAGAAAGGATTTGGGAAGAATGTAATTGAGTTGAGGGCATTATAAATGAAATATCCATGTGGACATGCTTCAAAGACCTCCTGAAATGTGGTTCTGGATTTCAAGAGAGTTGTCTAAGCTGCAGCTGTGAATTTCAGGGTCTTAATCTTAAACAGGAAGACTAAAAATCTTGGGACTGGGCAAAAGTGCCAGAAATGTGTTAAGAATAACAACTAGAATATAAAGGACAATGGCCTATACAACATTAATATTTAGAGATAAATGCTGAATCATAATGCATGTAAGGTGAAAAGGTTTGAATTAGATAGTATATACTGCTATATAAATATATTTTCTATCCAGTATCATGACTGTAATTATTATTTTTTTTTACTGAATTTCATGCTTCTGGGCATTCAGAAAGATTATAATTCCTACTATCCCTTGCGTTTATTTATAAGCACATAACTAATTCTAGCAAAAGGAATGTGAGTAGAAGTAACACTTGCCACATGTGGCTGGAGTCCTGTGGGATCCTCTAATTCATTGTCTATTTCATTGATATCAGACATAGCAAAGTGGAAGATTCCAGAAGTAAAAAAATAAAAACTATATGATAGATCAATAAAGAAAAAAACTCTTTTAAAAATTAAACATTAAAAAGGCCTTCCTGGTAAAACACGAACTAGGAATGAAAGACAACTTTTCCAATCTCATTTAAAAATATCCAAAAATCCCACAGCTAAAATCTTACACAATTTTTTATATGATAACAGATTTCTCATAACATTAGGAGAAAGACAAGGGTGCCCATTCTCATTGTTTCTGTTCAGCATTGTATAGGAGTTTTGAGTCATTACAATAGAGAAAAAGAAATGAAACACAGAAATTAGAAAGAAACAAAACTGACTCTATGTGTGTGTATGTATATTTACAGATATATCAGTAAATCTACAAACAATGTTTAGAACTAGTAAGTAAATTTATAAAAGTCACATGTGTTTTATCAAGATATAGTTCACATTCCTCACACTTCATTCTTTTACAATGCATAGTTCAATAGATTTTGTTATATGCACTGATTGTATAACCACTACACTTTTCTATCCAGAACAATTTTATCACCAAAAAAGAAAGCTTGTACCTTTCAGCAGTCACTCCCCTCTCTCCTTAGTCCCTGAACCACCAATTTTTTCCTTGTCCTCATGAAGACACCTATCAGACATCTTATATAGATGGCTTCTTTTTTTTGGCATAATGTTTTCAAGGTTCATCTACACTGTAGCATGTATCAGTATTTCATGCCCTTTTTTTGGCTGAATAACATTCCATTACATGTATATACTATATTTTGTTTATTCATCAGTTGGTGGATATTTGGGTTGTTTATATTGTTGGCTATTAGGAATAATATTGCTATGGACATTTGAATGCAAGTTTTCATATGAACATATATTTTTCAATTCTCTTGGGTCTATATCTAGAAGTAGAATAGTAGAGTCAAGTGATAACTCTATGATTAATTTTTTGAAGTAATGCCAAACTGTTTTCCAAAGTGGCTGCAACATTTTCTATTCCTATAAAAATATATGGGGTTCCAACGTTGCCACATCCCTGGCAACACTATTAGTATCTGTCTTTTTCTTTTATGATAGTAATTCAAGTATGTGTGAAGTGGAATTTCACTGAGGTTTTGATTTGCATTTTCCTAATGACTAATGATGTTGAGCATCTTTTCATTTGATTATTGGTTATTTGCATATGTCCTTTGGAGAAATGTCTAATCAAATCTTTTCTCCATTTTTGAATTGGGTTTTTCTTTTTATCATTGAGCTCTTTATCTATTATAGATTCTAGACCTTACCCTATACTTTCTCCCATCACAAAGGACTGTTCTAGAATGTTTATAACTTCATTCATAATAGTCAGAACCTAGAACACTAGAATAGGAAGTGTCAGTAGAAGGAAGGGTATAACAAAAACTGTGGTATATTTCACACAGTAGAATATCATTCACCAAGAAATAGAAAATAACTACTGACACACTCAAGAAGATATTAATCACAAAAACATACAATGTGAAAGAATTACTCAAACATGTAAGCAGTGTACAATTCTATTTATATGAATTTATGTAACTAGAATTGATTTACTGTGGAGTGGATAATGGTTGGGGATTTGCTGGGAAGGAGTTTGAGATAACTTTCTGGGGTGACACAGATTTGGGTGGCACAAGTATATAATTTGTTGGAACTAATGAAAATGAACACTTAAGAACTGTGTATTTTTACATAAATGCATATACAAATTTTACATAGAAATTTTACTTAAAAATCATATAATCTCAGAAACTTTCAATTCTAGGAATGAAACATATGCCAAAGAATTTAGAGGGGAATTGCAGTAATGTCTATGACTTCCTTTGATGTATTCAAATGTATCCAAAATAAGATAGATTCATGGATGAACATACAGATAGAATGATGCATAGTGGTGGGTATCTAAATGTAATTTTCTGTAATTTTCCTTTAAATTTTCGGAATGGCTAGACATTTTCAGAACAAAAGTGTTGCAAAAGGAAACAAATCCTGACTATGGAACCTCTCATGAATGAGAAAAATTAAAAAGTTAAAAGAGGAGAACGCAATCCCAGTTTTATAAATTACTAGTCATGTGAACTTAGCAAAGTTTTTTTATGTCTAAATTTCCTTATTATAATATTTAAATAATAAATAATACCTACCACACAGGATTATTGCTAATAAATGTGAAGAACAGTTTTGTTGTAAACAGCAGAGAAAATGTTTTAGCCACTGTGGCCCACAAAAAGAAAAGGTTTTAGACACAAAAGGAGATTAATGTCTTCACATTTTGCTATAAAGTAACTGTAATTTTCTTCAAAATCAGATTCACTATGATTTTTTTTTCTATGTGTGAATGTCATATATTAGGATCCCTAAGTGAAAAAGCTAGTAGAAAGGAAATATTGTAATTTTTAAAACCCATAAAGCATATTTTTAGAAATGGTATTTCCTTGACTTTCATTCTTGGAAAATGCTAACACACGGCATGAAACACGCTGGGCCTAGAAAGGAAAGCTTGCCAGATGCCACAGCAATAAATAGAGCAGGGCCTTGGAGTGAGACATGAAGCTCAAAAATGCAGAGTCCCATCTCCAGCACCCTTCCCATCTGGCATTTAGTCCTCTGTGGTCATGGGATTTTTGAAAATTCACCTTCATAGACAACCATTAATTAATTTTCTTATTTATTTACTTAATAGGCATTTAAATCATAGCCTACTATGGGCAAAGTTCTATGTGTGTCCTTCAGTCCCTGAGAAACATGAAACTGGGTAAAGTAAGTTAAGTAAAAATAAATTCTAAAAGCAGTATAATGACAGGTTAGGACTATTTATATCCTCCTACCTTCTCTTTTTAATATTCATTTAAAAATACAAGTTTAGCATTTTCAATCAATAGAGTAAACAGCAATTTTTTTTTCATGAATGACAGGAAATCTCACTGGAAAGAAGGCAGCAGAGTTTTTTATGGGTTATGTCTCACTTTGCTGAGAAGTGTATAAATAAAAATTTGTTTTCATAAATTATGTTTCCATAGTACTTATAAATTTTATTGTTTCAAATATATTAAATACAAGTGAAATTTCTTAATGTGTTTTTTTAACCTTCAATTTAGTAATGTCTCTAATTAAAGAAAAACAACAAAACTGAGCCCTAGAATGTTGACAACTATTTCATCTTTTATGATTTTATTGTTCTTTGGGTTGTCAAATATATATACTTGTGATAATTCTAAGAAATTGTGATTAATAGATTTTACCCAGGATTGAAAAACAACAAAAAAATTCTCTTAAAGAAAAAGCACATTCCTTTCCCTTAAGTCATCCTTATTTTGGGATTATACATTTTCTACTAAAATTTAGGATGGAATTTCTAACAGCAGTGGTATTGTTCAGTAAATAGCAGTCTTTTGTGTATGTGAAACATTTCAAATGAATGGAAATGGTCTTAGACATTTTATCTGGAAAATTTTTGACTATATTATTTATTTGAATGTTGTCCATATTTTCAAGAAATAATTTAGAAAAATGTCTTTTTCACAAAAATGTCTTTCTCTTGTGTCTATTTAAAAAGGAACTCCATCTCTCACCTGCAACACACACACACACAGACACACACCCTATTTGTTATCAACAGAAGCTAAAGAAACATTGGCTGCATGCCCAATTCTGGGATCACAGGGAAGAGAAAGCTGGCCAGCAATCACCTCTCCTAACCCTTATCTTTTCTTCCCTCTTATCTCTCCCCAGCTAAAGGTGCAGGGGTGTCCATATTCCAGGACTTCTACCTTGAGGGGAGACACAAGCTGTGAGTCAGGAGGCCTGCACTTTAATGTCTCATTATTCTTCTCTTTGAGTGAAAGCATACTCAAGAGGAAATAAAATGTTATATATATATATATATATATTATTTTAACAATTTATTTATTTATTTATGCAAACATTGGGTACAGTCAGAAGCACGGGAGGGTGAGAGAATTCACCAGAGCCAGAGCAGAGAGCAGAGCAGGCAGACTGACGAAATACACTGCTGAGGGGAGCAGTGGGCGGCAGGAGAGGTCTGTGCGCCATGTGGGACCCTCACCCGGTGGCTGGGGATCGAACTAGCACTGCAGAGGCTGCAGGCAGCTTCGCAGCCCAGTGCTCAACCGCTGTGCCACCGGGGAGGCCCTAAAATGGTATATATAAATGAAAATACTGAGTTACATGGAAACCATCTTTCTGGGTTTCACCACCAATGAACCTGTACTCTTCAAACATCCTTTCAATTTAAATAGAAAGAACCTGTCAAAGAAGTCTATTAGGACACCTATATTCAAATAGTTCACCACTGACTTTTGGGTGAATTCATTTTTCCTACATTAATACTAGTTGCTACAATGGTAAAAGGTCAAAACTTAACTAATTCCATCCAGTGTACATCATCTTAGAGTAAAATTATTAGGGGGGAAATCATGGGTTCATGAAGCAGGACAGAGGATTTTTGTTGCTGTTGAGGTTTTTATTAGCCACAATCTTATATTACTGTATTTACTGAGAATACATAACTGTCCTTGAAATTAAACATACCTAATTCCTACAAGTGTGCTCTCTCTCTAGTTCACCCAAATTAGGGAGGTTTCCCTATGCTAATTTTGTCTATTTCACAAGCATCCTTGAGATCCTTTGTCCTTAATTATTTATGTGTCTGTCTTAAGTATTAAAAGCACACTTGAAACTTGCAATTTTTCTAAGTTCCTAACACTTATTAGCTTTGTTTTCTGCCTAGACCTGTTAACCTAATTTTGTCTCCAACACTTTTGGGAATAATGCATTACTTATCTCTAAATTTTGCATAGCTGTTTTTAGCACTAAAGGATTCAACAGCAGGTTTCAATTTCTCAAAATGAAATTTGCTGATTCTCTAATCTGAATTAAAAGCCACACTTATTTACTTTCCTCCATTCTGTTTCAAATGTTAACAGATAATTTCTCAAATTATAGTTGAGTTATTTGTTAGCCAACATCATGAGCAATATTCTTTCTGCCAAATCATTGATGGCCTAATTGTTTTCTCCCCCACCCACCCTATATTTTATGAACCCTGATATAAAAGAAAAGGAAAACAAAATGTAGAAGAATTACAGTAGCCTATTACTGGACACACTTTCTCATTTTCCTTTGCAGTTTCTTGGCTGGTGCGAGAACTCAGCTGCTCCTTCCAGCTCCTGAGAGAATGCGCCTGGAGGGAGGGGAAGGGTTTGCCAGAGAATCTGCAGATCTGGTGATAAATAGAGGTGAGTCCTGATGTAACAACTTGGAGGCAGATGGATGATTGGGGCAGCTATTTTATTTCTGAAATAAAAACCACCAGAAATAAAGACTGTATACTTTGGGGCCTCCCTGGTGGTGCAAGGGGTTGAGACACAGCCTATGGGGCTATCCACCACTGCAGCACGAGATCAATCCCAGCCAGGGAGCTGCCCAAATGGCACAGCAGACCTCTCCTGGCTTACCTGCTGCTCCCCTCAGCAGTGTATTTCAATCAGTCTGCCTGTTCTGTTCCCCACTCTGTCTCTGGTGAATTCTCTCACCCCCATACCTCTACCCTGTACCCCAGTTCTTATATGCATAAGTGAATAAATCTTTAAAAAAATAAAAGACTATACTTTGTTGGAATGCCATCACACTTATCAACATATATGCCAAATGAAAACTCAATGCCATCCACAGATCTAGCATTATGGTGGATCCTGATAAAAATCATAATTTATTGTCAGAAAACAGTACCAGTAATCTCATACTAGGGATTAGTAATTCCAGAACAAATTCTACTTGAAAAACAAATATGAGCTAAGAGTGAAATCATTTCCCTGAAGATTCCACACATTTATGGAAATCCAAGTGGTGTGGAGGGGCCCAGGCACTCAGCTTTAGGTCATGTGCACAAGGACAGACATAAACCCTGACAGAAACACTATTTTCTGAGGACTTATGCTCAGTTCCAAAACATCTGATGAAAACTAAACTTGGAACAAATCTTAGCTTAGTAGAACTCCATCAAAGACAGCAAAAATAAAGATCAAGGGGGGAAAAAAACCTACAAACTTGAATTACAGGAAAGACCAGACCATTTCTTGCAAGGGAAACCAAAAGAAATTCTCAGTAGTTATTAATCTCTTTAGATAGAAAATTACACTTGGCAAGTAGCGTGATCATTTACAGACTACTAATTTCCAGTATCTTGAAGGTAATAAATAATTAAACTGGACCCAGGAAAAGCTGTCAGTTCAGAAATAATTGCTTTTACTCTTTCATTTTTCTGAGTTGCATTTTTCCAATGGTGTCAACTGGCTCGGCCCACAATTGTATACAAAAATATACACCACCAAAAAAGCTCTAATCTTTAAAATAGCAAAACAAGAAAAGAATTGGGGAATAATCCAAACTGTAAGATATACAGCTTTTAAATGTTTAAGGGAATAGATACTTCTTTTAGAGCCCTCAACATCCTAGGAACCCCACAGAAATTTTAATTTTAATAACTTTTGGGAGCTGATACTCTCCATTAATTCTGATCATTAATTTGTCTTTAGACCAAGCTCAGCCTTCAGTTACAGGCGATAGAAAATGTTGAAGCTAAGTGTTCTTGTAAGTGAAAGATGATTACTGGAACTCAAATAAGCTTCAAAGTCAAATGACTGTAACCAACCTCTACAGATATTTATAACTGAAACCTCTAGAAGTGTTTATTACTTTGTTTATCCCTTTAACCAATCAACAAAGATTTATTTATCACATGCTAGTCAAAACACTCACAAAACAACCCCAAATTCTTCTTGAAAATACAAATATATATTCACTTGGGGATTTTGGGTAGCTTCCAGTTTTTAATTTTTTTTAAAAAGATTTATTTATTTATTTATACAAGTACTGGGTACAGTCAGAAGCATGGGAGGGTGAGAGAATACACCAGAACCAGAGTGGAGAGCAGAACAGGCAGACTGACTAAATACACTGCTGAGGGGAGCAGCGGGCGCGGCAGGAGAGGTCTGCAGTGCCAGATGGGATCCTAGCCAGCGGCCGTGGATCAAACCGGTGCTGCAGAGGCTGCGGGCAGCTTCGCAGCCCAGTGCTCAACCACTGCGCCACCAGGGAGGCCCAGCTTCCAGTTTTTGAAGATACTAGGCACTAAGCAACATTTAACTTTAGATTTTGAAATCTTTAACATTATACCAAAAACCGTGCACTTTGTTTTAAGTTATTATGAAACCAAGAAACAAGAGGAAATTTTTACTTAGTCCAATAGAAGAGAAAAGGTCTCCAAAACCAGTGGATCTCTGAAATAAAATAAAATAAAATAAAATATAGGAGAATGTGCAAATTTTATAAGAAATCTCTCTTCTGGACACCAGGTGAACCTCAGAGGCCACAAATCAAAAGTAGTCCCTTCTCCCTTATTTCCTTCTCTATTATTTGCTCTATTTCCTTTGTCTTTTCTTACTGTTTAGCTACAATGATACTTGATTGAGATTGAAATGGTAAAGTCACCTTAAAAACTGCTCACAGGAAAAACCAGTAGGAAATAACAGAGGTTTATAGGCCAACAGCAATAAAACAAAGTATAAAATTCTGTTGATAAGAAGACAGTAAAAGGTTTTTTAATCATAGAATTTAAAGAACAAGTATTACCAAAGTACCTATTCTATAGCAGGCAGCATATAGCAGCACCACACAGTAAACCCAAGTGTATTATGAATGATGAGATGGGTGCAGGGGGGTTATGGATAGAGAGAAAGGATGATTCCTTTTAACTTTAAAAAGGGAGACCAAAGCAAGTATGGTACTACCAAGTTTTTAAAATATGGGGGGTGGGTGCATACACTTTATTTTTTTCAGTATATAAACTACTTCATAATAAAGTAAATATGTATTTTTAAATGCCAATTTTTTAAAAGTAGCCAGCAATTAGAAGATGTTGTTCCAATAAGTCCAATTTTCCTACTTCTGAGCTAGGAATACACATGGCTAATTATTTTCCATCTTTAGCAAGAGGAACAACGAAGAGTTGATAGAGAAGAAAAGGCTGTTCTTGATAAATGATTAAGTCAGTGGCATTTGTGGCAAATGGATGGTCATTCTGGATGGAAATGAATCACTGTACATGATAATTCCAAACCCTCTGGGTTTCAGATGTGCATGATAATACTGAATCCTCAGGGTTTAAGAGAGTATTTCACCTTACATACTGTCTCTGGAGGGTACTCTCCTTCTTCCTTAAGGGGCGTGAATTTAAGGTTTAGGGGGGAATGAATGCCACATTTTCATTATTGCTAAAAATGTATAAAGTCTGGATTCTGTAATAACAGTTTGCTCATTTTAAGCACTGATTAGCTAGACAAGACTGGAACTGACTTTTTAAAACAATTCTCACAAAGATTTCCTTTTCTTTCATAATTGCATGCAACATTTTCTAATGTCATTCTAAAGAGTTGATTGAGTGCTAGGGGGATTTCGGCAGAAGAGGTCCCACAACCATTTTACTAACTTTGGATCATAAGCAATATTAAGAATTAATAGCAAGGAGCCAGAGGATGTGTGTGTGTGTGTGTGTGTGTGTGTGTGTGTGTGTGTACACGTGCATTTTCAAATCAGTGATAACTAACCTGAAACATTTCACTAGTGAAGCAAGAGTCCCTTGAGATACATTGTTTAATATAAAGGCTGGAAATAGATCACAGACACAAGGGATATGACCCAGCACACATTTTTTTTCTGCAAAGTAGTTTATATGCATGATGATTAGATATATATCCACAATAAGAGGCAAACTGGCCTATAATTTTCAATATTACATTCTTGTACTTTTTATTATATGTTATTTTTCAACCAGTAGAAGAACATGTTCTCATAAAGCTAATATTTATTCTTCCATGTTTATAGAGCTAGTGGTGCTTTTCAGGAAATGAGAAACTCTGAGAAGTCAAATATAAGTTGGTTATAACAAAAGAAGACTGGATAGGAAAATCGCCAAGTTTCAAAAATTGAACTCAGTCATAAAGCTTTACATAATTAAATAACACAATAATAAAAATAGATAAATAAAATAAAATAAATAATATTATTTAAACAATAATTTAAATAACATGAGATAAGGGAAGTCTGTGATGTTAACGATTTTTTCTATATAAATGTGGTCTTTTTATAGATGATGAATCTTATCATGTAGGATGCCTCATTTTACTAGAAAGCAGAGTGCTACTGTCAGTTCCCGTTTTCAACTCTGCACTGCACTTGTATGTTCTGTGAGCATTAGGGCTGCACTAAGTGCCATCCACTGTAACACGACACCCTTACTTAGGACTGGATCTTCATGTCATGAATTCTCACTCCTCTTCATCTCTATTAAGTAACCTCTGTACCATGGGAAATCAACAATCTCTGAAGTTACATGTAAGGAACACAGTAATGGCAGACTCCCTGGTGGTGCAGGGGTTAAGTCTCAACATTATCACCTCTGTGGCTTGAGTTCCATTCTGCCAGGGAGTTGACCCACATATGGCGCAGCAGACCTCTCCTATCTGGCCCTCTGCACCCCTCAGCAGTTTATTTTAGTATTTTGCCTGTTCTGCTCCCCACTCTGTCTCTGAATCCTCTCATTCATTGCCCCATCCCACCTCCTCGAGCCCATACTCCAGTTCTTCTACTCGAAAATAAAAAAGAAAGAAAGAACACAGTAATGAAAAAAAAAAGTTTTCCCAAGATAAGGCTGGCTCCTATATTAAAGTAAATGTCTAAAGATATGTCCTGCAAGCCACATATTTGTAGGAGAAATTTCTCCAAATGCAGTTGTTCCCACATTCTTTCCTTTAAATTTATATTTTCACTAGAGGCTTTGGAAGAATCTGGAGAAATGAGTCTTTGAGTCGTTTCCCCATTCTCTAGATGCATGAAGAATAAAGTGGGGGCTGCTGACAAGTAAATGAGAGAAGAGATAGAATCCTGCAGGAGGATAGTAGGGTAGGTGAGTCACGAGACATTGGCACCGGAGAGAGAATTTCAACTGATCTTCAAATTTCTGACTCTGTGTAATGGTATAGAGGGTTGAAACTAGGGTGAGTGGTGAAAAAAACTCCTTTGTTATTTACCTTTTTCTCAATCTTCCCTTAGGTCATATTTTGTACCCCTCCCTCTTTCAGTGACTGTTCTTAGTGTCATCAGCACTACAACTTCCTGAAGTCCAGGCCCTGTCTGGTCTGTCAGCCCTAATGGCTATCCTCTCTTAGCTATTTTCCAGCACTGACTTCTGGACTATCTTTCCCATATGCATATCATTGTAAAAAACACAGTGATCTTCCTTAAACACCAAACCAGAAATTCTGGCTCTCCAAGAGAGCATCCAAGTACACATGTTAGTGTATTTCTAGACAGCTTAAAAAAAAAAATGTAATCCCAGAATAGAAACGTGACTGAGTCAAAAAAGAAAGGCACCCAGAGTTAAACGCTGAGGTGTGGGCCAGCTCCACCCTTCACTCAGCTCTGCCAGCTCCAGCATTCTCAGCCTCATGTGAGCAGAGTGTAGTGAGGGAGTCCTCTGCAGGGAAATGTGAGGGCAGCATTGAATTTGGCTATAACCACCACCAAGAACCAGGGGTGCTAGAGGTCTTTGGTTTCTGGGAACCGGGATTATTAACTTCCAAAATCAAGAGAATAACTTTGCATCAAAAAAACTGCCCCCTTCAAATTACCAATAATGATCCCCTTAAGGTTTCTCAATAGGTGATTTTTAACATTTCTTCAAATAGTCTGGAATCTTTTTTTTTTTTTTTAAGATTTATTTATTCATACAAGCACTGGGTACAGTCATAAGCGCGGGTGGGGGGGGGGTGAGAGAATTCACCAGAGCCAGAGGGGTGAGCAGAATAGGCAGACTGATGAAGTACACTGCTGAGGGGAGCAACGGGTGCGGCAGGAGAGGTCTGCGCGCCATGTGGGACTCTTGCCTGTGGCCGGGGATCGAACTGGCGCTGCAGAGGCTGTGGTCAGCTTCGCAACCCAGCGCTCAACCAACCACTGTGCCACCCGGGAGGCCCTAGTCTGGAATCTTAAACTCAGAAAAGTACTAGGAGGATAAGTAAAATTTTGGATTATGAAATTTGTAGGAAAAGATTTTTTAAAACAGGCTTATCTCTCCTCAAGAGAAAATGGAAGACTAGAGAACTGAGTCTTTAATGATAGAACAGGACTCTGACCAATAAACCCTTTCTTCTTGGGGGAAGAGATACAACATCATAATAGGAGGTCAGGGTGTACGTAGGTTTTCTTAACAACAGGGTCTAAGACAGGAAGATATTTAATTAGGTTCCCAAAAGAAACTGAATACCTAGGTGGGGACATTTGAGAACACAGATATTCTCATTGGTTTCAGATAGTCCAGTGGGATCTTGTTCATATACTAGATAGGGGTATTTAGGTAACTTCTCAGGTCCTATCCAGCACTCATGTTTCCATAGATACACTTATTAGGTTCCAATACACAGCAGTATCCTACTAAATTGATGGCCTGAAGAGTCAAGGATGGAAACACAAGTTTCCATCCACCATCTTCCCCAATGCACATCACGTGCTTCCTACTTCAAAGTGAATCATTCATAAGGCCCAACAATGAAGGGTGCAGTGGGCAAACTGGAATCCAGGCTAGCACTGCAGCAAAATCAACTTTGATTTCTCAGTAGAAATAAAAGAAGGGGAAAAAAAACACACCCACAGTAAAGGACTATTAGGGGAGAAAACATTTGTCACAGCGGACAGAATAGAAGTCCAGCCAAATGAAATAAAAAGACATGTCATTCTAGGGAAAGTACTGCATTCCTTCTCCCTTGCTCTTCATTTAGTTTTTGTCCACTCAATGTACCAAGCAGTAGTCTCTCTCCTCTTCACTTTTCCATCTATGAAAGATGCATGGATTGAATTTAGCCTTTGGGTCGGTCTTTGTCAGAAAGTACTTTCAAAATAAAAGTGCTTCACTTGGTGCTATCTCAACAGCAAAACATCTACTTTCAAAATAAAGTGCTTCCTTCACCAGTAAAGCTTTTCCTTGAGTAAGCTCAATATTGATAGTAATTTTTCAAGCTGTTAATATACACACATTAACAACAACAACAACAACAACAACAACAACAACAACAACAATCCTGTTCTATCTTTGTAACTCACAGGGTGAGTACTACTTGGCAGAAACTAAATCAAAATACTCTGGCTAGGCCTGCCTGGTGGCTTAGGGGTTACATGTCAGTACTACAACTACTACAGTCTGAGTTCGATCCCCAGCCACGGAGCTAAATCACATATGGCACAGCAGACCTCTTCTGTCTTACCAGCTGCTCTCCTTAGCAGTGTATTTCAGCAAATCTGCCTGTTCTGCTCCCCACTCTGACTCTGTTGAAACCCTCTCCCATGCATCTCTGGCCTACACCCTATTTCTTCTCTGTAAAATAAAATAAAATAATCTGGCCATTGAGACTCTATTATCACAATGATACTAGTTGATATTGAAAAGCACATTTTTGAATTTCAATATTTCAAAATATAATTTATCCACAAGCTCTTAATTAATTGAAAGTACTTAACAAAATTTGATATATGTAGACACTCAATATAAATTTTTTGACTCTATTCAGTGAGACTTTATGAATGCAGAAATAAAATTTGTTTTTAGCCAATATGGGAGTATTTTATTTCTAATATTTTTGTAACATCCCACAGAGGATATAATAATAAGTATGAGAAGTATCATATCAAATTTATTTTAATTTATATCCCTCTCCCAATGAAATTAAAGGATTTCAATCTGTGTATAACCTACTTCCAGAGTTCTTACTGCATTAAAAAAGAATATAACTACTACTTATTTTTAAGATGTCCCTCAAAATTTAGAGTATATTCAGTGAGAGAAATGGAAAAATCAACACAAACCTTAAGACCTCCAGCAGATCAGAAGACAAATATGTTCTTTGAGGACTTGATTGAAACAGCAGCGTATTCACAAAAGTCTTTTAAATAGGAGCCATTCACAAAGGAAGTCCCGTGGAAGACAATGTGGCTTTGACATGCCAGATGCTTCTGGAAGCAAAAGTGAGCACATGATTAGGAAATATCCAGCACCATCACTGCTGCCCTGTCACTGAGTCAGAATGCTATGTTAGATACCTACTGCTGTTAGTTACACAATGGCATTCATTTCTATCAATTCTGCACCCCGAATCTTACTCCAAAATGGTAGTAAATAACATTGTGTTTAGAAATTTCTCAAGATAGGGCCTCCCCTGGTGGCACAGCGGTTGAGCGCTGGGTTGCGAAGCTGCCCGCAGCCTCTGCAGTGCCGGTTCGATCCCTGGCCACCGAGCGAGGGTCCCACATGGTGCGCAGACCTCTCCTGCCGCCTGCTGCTTCCCTCAGCAGTGTACTTCGTCAGTCTGCCTGTTCTGCTCCCTGCTCTGGCTCTGGTGAATTCTCTCACCCTCCTTCGCTTCTGACTGTACCCAGTGCTTGTAGAAATAGATAAGTAAATCTTTAAAAAAAAAAAAAAAAGAAATTTCTCAAGATAGGAGTACTTTATGAGTGAACTCTGCTTTTTCCCTTCCCTAACCAAGCTGGGACTGAAAAACTGAATGGGATGTGAGTTGGAGGCCCTAGCTCAACTAGTGACTGAGTGAGTGCCCAGCAGCTGCAGGTCAGTGTGCAGGGGACTTTGTATACATGGGCTCTTCAACAGAACCATGGCCTGAAGCTGGAGAGGAGTGGCTCCATGCTACAGATGACAAAACTAAAGCAGATTCCTGCATTCTGGCTTAAACATTGAAGGCCTCAGGGCTGGCTGTTTCCCTCATTTTCCTGGAGGCCATATGGTTTAGAAAAGTATTTCACAAAGAGGGTAGATAGGAGAACTGAAAATTCTACAATAAATGATATTAATACAAATATTACCAAATTAATTAAGAAATCTTCTCTCCAAATTCACCTTTGTTTTTTATCAAATGCCATCTTACTAATTCACAGGCCACAGACACCAGCTTTAAGCGTGGTGTTTTTTCTCCCATGCTTCTCTATGCAAACTGAGGGAATGCATCAGGATCCAGCAGTCCCCTCGTGCTATGGGGTAGATTTCCAGGTCGTGATGCATCAAGGAGCAATTCAAAAGTCTTGTCCTGCTCTGGCCACTCTGCATGACCCACAGTTCACTCACTGACCAGGTGAAGGAGAGCAGCACCTTCCCAAGGACTTTCCTGATGTGGTTAGGAACAGAGTGCATGCCTTCTGTGGACAGCACATCATCACTGTGTTCTGCGGCTCTGTCTCATTGTCTTGAACAGCTGAGTGTGACTGAGCAAAGGCTCAGCAGAGGTGCCCCTAGCTTTCTATTCTCATTTCACTCAAAATTCCACATGGTACTGGTGGTTCCTGGGCCAATACAGAGCATCCCTCAGCCCACCCTCCACCAGCTGCAGCAGCCACTATCAGTCACTGCCAGCCCAGAAAACACTTCAAAATTCTCCCCTTCAAGGTTGCAGGTTTTAGTACCCCCAGCTTCTGCCTGAGCCTCACATCCACATGGCGTTTGGAGTGCTCCTCGGAGAGGCTAGAGAATGATGGAGCAGGAAGGTCACCCAGAACCTTTGAAATTTTTATTTCATTTTATTTTTGGCAACAAAAGCTTAAGTTATGAATAAAGAAACAAGGAAAAACTGATTGCATTTTCAGAGTTCTACAGGACAGAAGCCTGGGATTATTACATGGAGAAAGAAAAAAAAAAAAAAGAGGAAAGAGAATAGAGCCAAACAGAGCTGGTTTATCTTTGCATGAAAGAAGGGAGAAGAACTGCACAGAGAATGGAGGAAGAAATGTCCTTGGACCACAGACTCTAACCTAAATTATGGAAATACAAAATAAACAGAAACTCTTCTTAAAACTTTTTATGCTAGCATTTGGTTTTTGTAGGCCACTCACAAGTCAACTTTCGGCTTATAAACCTAAACTCACAGCCTTACGAGTCAATCAATAATAGAAAATTTTGATGACTACTGAAAAAAAGCAAGACATTCTTCCCCTAAAGCATTTCATTGTCCTGTAGGGGGATACAACCAGGATGTCAAAAATTATATGTAAGAAAGCGATACTAACAAATGTTTGAAAGAAAGGGATAGGGAACCAGACTGCCTGTGGGTGTCCGTGCCTCCTTCCTCACTAGCTGCATAGCCTGGGGGAAGGAGTAAGACCTTGGTATTTAAACTCTCCAAACTCAGCATCTTCATCTGCAAAATAGAGAAGTGATATACTTCCCTCTGGATGTTGTGAGAATTAAGTAAGATAACCTATAGAAGGTGCTTGGCACAACGGATGGCACAGAGTAAGAACTCATCAAATATTAGGAAGAAGTAGGAGTAGTAGTCTCTCAGAGGATGATGACCTCATGAAGCAAAAAGTGCTCTGATGCTTTAGAAGGTTTGAGGATTCTCTTTGTCTGAGATGAAGAGAAAAAAGAAGCCTTGTGTGGAAGACAGTATTTAAGATCAACCATAATTAAACAGAAAGAAATGATTAGGCTATTATAGATCCTCTCATGATAATTAAAAAACTAGAAAATGAGCCATATTAGGAAAAAAAAAAAATCCTTGAAATTAGACATTATTTTCCAGATTTGGTATGAAAGTGAATATCTACCATAAAACACAGCCAGGGAAAGACATAGGAAGAAAAGATATGTCGTGCCATTAAGAAAGATACAGTATCCTCCTGGATTCTGTTCCATTTAACTGTAATCCAAAATGACACCATGACTTTTAAAGGAACCTGGCAAGCTCTAGACACACCATTTTTAAATTTAACCTCAAATTTAAATCACAGGGCTGGAGACTCAAATCTTCAATGTGACCTTTATAGGGTATTGTTCAACAAAACATGTCTGTCACTGTGCAGAGAGATTATACACCCTGTTATTCTGGAAAGTATAATAAGATGATGTACTATATTGTTACAAGACAGGGCCACAAAATAATTGTGGCTGTGATTTTTCTAGAAACAATGAAAATAAAGTTGATTGGTTCATTCATATAGAAATCTTGTCTTATCGAATTAATGAACATTCCTGTTTTCCTCATATTTTAGATTTCATTTAATTCAGAAGCAGCTTGGCAGGAATCTCATCATTTATGAATTTAAAATATTCTCTGAATAAAACCCTCTCTCGAGGGCTTTTTTGAGCCACACTAGTTTGTCCTTGCCAGGCTGGTACAGTACTGAGCAGGAGAGCTGGAAGACATGGTGGCTGGAGTTTGCCCACACCCTCCCTGCTTCTAGCCCTGGGAGGTCTGCTTAAGAAAGTGAACTTGCAAACACTGGTGTCATCTTTTCCTGCTCCATCTCTTCCACTGATCTGTAAAATCCTATCAATTCTTCTCCCCATTTGTCCAAGTCATAACATCACATTTCATGTACTACCATAAGAGTCTATCTGATTTTGTTTCTTGAAACACATTCTGAAAGTCATCAAAAAGATCTGTCATGCTCTCTGATTCATAGGTGGTGGTGATAAATAAATATTTAAATAAAAAGTGAATGAACAGATACAGAGAACAGACTGGTGGTTGCCAGAGACAGGGATGGGGTAGGGGAGCAGGAGAAATTGGTTAAAAGGGGGTAAAAGAAAAAGTGTCAAGTGCTTGCTCAGAATAAAAAACAAAATAAATGAAGTGGTGAATGAATGAAATAGCTTTTAAATGCAACTCTGTGTATTTTCACTACTCAAGAATCTATAAGGTCAGGATCAGATCTAAGTTCCTCATTTTGCATATCTTCCCATCACCCTCTCTAATCTTAAAACAGACTGTTTCTAATATAAAACGTTGGGTCAAACATAAGTCGTCTGCTTATCATGGTCTACTCACCTTAGAGTGAGTCACAACTTAGGAGAACATCATCATCACCCAGGTCTCTTGAATTAGAATAATTAGGGGAAAGGCCTCACCGTTATTTAAAATGCTCCACAGAACCCTTGTACACTGTTGTTGGGAATGTGGAATAATCCAGCCTCTATGAAAATCAGTATGGAGGTATCTCAAAAAATAAATACAGATCTAGCATATGATCCAGCAATTCTACTCTTAGGCATCTACCCAAAGAATGCTTCTCTAGCCCCTTACTGCTTTAATTTTGTATTGCCTTAGAGCTTTCATTATTTTATTCTTTATTAGTTTATCTCTGAAAATAGATTATAAGAACCTTGAAGGCAGAAATTGTATTTTAAAATTTAGTGTCCCCCATAGCATCTAGCATATTTGTTTGACATTAAATAATTCAAAAATTATGAAATAATTGATTTTTCCACACTGTGCATCAGTGTAAATATCTACTGTGGAGAGCTTAGGCATCTTATAGTACTTAGTGACATGGAAGTATTAATAATAATAACAACATGGAGGGTAAGTGGAACAGGTACACATATGAAAGAGCAAAAGAGTAACTCCAAATATTAAATTAAAAATTAAAAATATATATAGGGGCGGAGCAACATGGCGGCGAGGAGACGCTGCGAGTAAGATCTCCCATTAAAAAAAGTTAATAGGGAGGAAAAGCGGCAGGTCCCAGTGAGAACCGGGACACGGAAGGAAGATAAACGGGTGATGCCAGCAAACTGCCCGAAGAAGAAAGTTGCCATAAAAGAGGACCAGAAGGGAGGGAAGCGCAGAACCCTGCTCCCCTCCACCGCCCACAGAGGCGGCACTCTCAGACCAGCAGAGAGGAGGAAAACAACAAACTAAAACGACCAACAAGAACAAACGATGCAGCAAGCAGGACTGTGAGTGTGCAGCCACCACACCCCGTGAACGGGAGCTGAGGCGAACCCTGCAGGATCCGCCGCAGCGGTGAGCAATGCGCGCTTGAAAAGCAAGTGCTGACCGGGATCGCAGCTGCCCAGGTCCCCGTGCCTGCGACCTAGGATTGCGGGGAGACGCGTGGAGGCCCTCACGGGGGTGAAAGTCCCTCCCTGAGTGAGCAGGAACCAGGCGCCCAGGCACGGGAGCGGTGCAAAAGGCGCCATTCCCGCGCCACTGAACTGGGCTACA